TGCTCGGTCTGAAAAGCTGAATCAAACATGCAGTTTTAGCAAATTTGATGTTAAATTTTTAGATTGAGATGTTGACAATGAAAAATGCCATGGAATTTGTGTAGATGTTGTTGTTGTTAAATCACTGTCTAATATTTGTTTTTGATTTTCATATCTAAGAAATGCCACTAAATAACTGTTTAATATTCCAAAAATGCCTATTAATGATATAACAAGTATGACATTACTACGTATTGTATTTAACGGTCGAAATAGATGTAAAAAACGAATTAAAGTAAAAAACATAATTAACCATGAACATAATGCAGCGCATAGACGATTTAACATGAAGAAAAAAAAACAACAAAATTCTGATATATCAATTAAAGTTTGAAATCGAATATTATTTGAAGTATACAGATGAAGAACTAATGTATCTATTACCCAATAAGTTAATAATATAGTATCTAAACATATAGAAAAACAAACATCTTATGAATATATATAATATTAATTAACAATATTTTCGATATGATACTGTTTAACTCACTGACCTAAAATCGATATTTCAACCAGATATAACTCAAATATTTTTCGTTCAAAATTCATTTTTTTCCGATAATGAAGTGCTTTAACACAAATAATAATTGTTAATAAATTTCCTGGAAAACCAAATATAAAACAAATTGTGGCCATTGTTTCTCGAAATATTTGAGGAAATAGTGTATGAAACATATTTTTGTTTTTTAAGTTTAACAAACACCTGATTGTAGTAATTAAGATAAATTTATATAATCTAATGATACATTGTCATTCACCTAGAAGAGTAAAAAACAATCAAAATTTTCAAATTTAAAAGTAAATATCTCGTAATTATAATAAGCTTTTTTTTCATCCTATTATTGGTAAAAAAAGAAGACGGTGACTGTAACCAACTTTTAAACAAATTCTGATAGATGATGCTAAGTGAAGAGTTATCCGTGGTGCTGCTTGACAGACAAGTCTTTGATGCATCTTTCCAAATATTTGTCCATGAGAGAAAAAGTTTGAAGATCTTTTTTGAAAAGATTATTGCAGTTGACAAGTCGACGATTAGCTCGGTCTGAAAAGCTGAATCAAACATGCAGTTTTAGCAAATTTCTTAATACAAGTAAACACGCAAAAGTAGCTTGTTTATCTAAAGATGGATTATATCCTACTGAAAATAGACTGAGACTAATTTTATCGCTTCCAAATTTGGCTAAATGTTTTGAAATAATTTACGAACGAATAACCAAATAATGTAAAAGTAAAGGAACGTTTACTGATCAATCTGGTTTTACTTCCAACAGTCGTTTCCAAACTCGTTCTATTTCCTTAGTTGAAGACCCTAAACTAACCATCGCAACGTTTAATCCACCAGTCTTGTGATTTTTGTTGATTTTATGCATTTATCCGACATTAATTAAGATCCTTGCCGACCTTGAGATGCCAGTTGATCTTCTACGCTGGATTTACAATTGGTTCCAAAATCGCTCCATTGTTATATACTATGGAGATGCAATCTCCATACTAACCTCTTTGTATGGGTAGGAGTGCATCAAATCCGAACTCAAGCTTGGGAGTTGAGTTTAGGAGGGGAAGTGTAGGCTTGATTCGAAAGTTAAGGTTGGGTTCGACGACATCATCCAATTGGAACATCACTTGGCTCAGCTTTCGACCCTCATTTCAACTATGGTATTTTTATTGCATAAAAGTTGAGTTCTGATGGAGAAAATTGAGAATTACGGGCAGAAATCCGACTTTTTTGTCTCTGATTTAGAAAAAATGGATTTTCTCAGCAACGAAACAAAATTTCAAAAAAAGGATATGACCGCCTTTTCCTATTTCATTATCAAGCGTACGGTATTGATCAAATAGCAGATATCTTCTTCAACCGTTTGCGTGTGAAATTTTCATCACTAAATGCAAACTTGTATACTAAAAAACTGAGTCTCACTAATCTAATGTACTTGTGATGATATTGAAAGAGTTGATCATTATCTGTTACATTGTGTGTTGTACCAATCGCAACGAAATAATCTTGAACAGAAACTATCAACTTTTGACTTGCCGCAACTCCTAAGTAGTGAATTACTCTTACTTAAAATTTGTCTCTCAAACAGTATTTGACAGTCGACAAAAGTGTAATTGAATATATTCTTTCAACTAAAAGGTTTGCGATGTAAAAATTTGATCTGCATCTCTTAGCACACTCGGTCCTCTCCTTTCTTTCTTCTGCCATTTGTTTGTTCACTTCATGTCTTTTTTCTCTGTTTTTTATTATGTATTTGTATTCTTTTCTTCATTACTTTCCTTTCTATTTTTTCTATTTTTTATTAGCTAGACAGGATGATAACCCTCTTTTGATCTGTGTTATAATTATTTGTTTCATCAATAAATAAATAAAGTTTAAAAAAACAAAAAAAAAATACGGAAAGTTGTTTTATGTGTTTAACCCTAGGGCTAGATAGATTTGCCAGGTGAGCAGGTAGGACTTTAACGCTTCTTCTCATGTTTAGTGGATTTTGAGCTCAGTTTAGCTTTCAAAAACGTTCCAATTAGTTTTTTATACTCAGTTTTGCATGGAGAATCAGAAAAAAAATAGTTTTAAAATTTTAGAAAAATAATAAACATGAAAATTTTCAACTGAAAAAATTCACTAATTTCTGCCCATTTTTAAAAAATCAATATTTTCGCACTTTTTCACCCAAAACCACCTTAAAAACCTAAAAACTCAGTTTTTTCTAACTAACTTAATGAGCTCTATTCAACCATGATAAAAAAGACGAAAAAACATCTTGCTATTTTCTTTTGAATTTCCGGCACCTTAATTTTCAGGGCCCGACGCAAGTAACTACATGGTGTAACTCATTCGACCTTTGAGTTTGGATTTCAAAACTTTTTCTAAAGGTCGAATGACACATCACTAAATGCAACTGTTGACACTGAGTATGAATATGGGGTTAGGTTTTGATGAAAAAGTTTTTGTTATGGGCGAAAACCGAGTTTTAATGTTCAATTACTCGGTTTTCCTTCTAAAGTTAAAAATCCCAAATTTCTTTTTTCATGCCCTTATATAGTAACTACTTGGCTACATAGTGACGCAAAGATATCCAAAAAATGTTTGTTCTCCCGTGTAAAAAGATATTTCAAAAATAGCACTAAAATCCAACAATGATGACCCATCATTGATCATATGACACATGTGACTGGAGCCATCCTTAGCTTGGACATCAACTTAAAGAATGACTCAAATCCAATCTCTCTATCACTTTATAAATTTGAGATATTTTAATTTTACTGAAACCGGTGCCTCATGTAACCGCTATTTTTGCCCTAGGACTAGTTTTGAAAACTTCATAGCTCAGTAATCATACATTATTTTTTCAATCGCCAAGCGTCATGTTACTCAAAAATGTTTGCTCTTTATATGAGATCGAAAATCGAAATTTTTTTTTTAAGTCTGAACAATGTAGGTTGTGGCTTACGTGCAATGGCAGGTTAAAAAAAATGAGATTCAGCACAATTCTGTGTGATCTTCTGTTAAGAAGCTACAGGTATTTTCCTACAAGCTCTAAAATGTACTAACAAATGCACGATATTTTGCGTGAAATCGTTATTTTGGATTTTTGCTATTCGTGCGGCAACGCTTTCTCCTCTATTTTGAGTGCTGCAAAGTTAACAATGGCCCTAAAATATAGTCAAGGCTTCGCACTACAACTTAAGAGAACGGGATCTTCTAAATTCGTTTTTATTTAGCTTTCCGAAGTTTTTTATGAAAAACTGCTAATTTTTCAGAAAACTTCATCTTTCTCAAAAACTAAAATCAGAATCAAAAATTCGGTTCTGTTAAGAAGTAGCGTGAAGCCTTGACTGCATTTTAGGATCATCGCTAACTTCGCAGCACTTAAAATAGAGGAGAAAGCTTTGCTACATGAACACCTAGTTTTGCACCTTATTTTTAGGATAACTCTGTGGAAACTCAAGGTTTCCGAAACCAAACTGACTGGAATGACAAAATATTTTTGTTACAGAAAAAGTACTTTATTTTCCTACTAAGGAAAGTAGGGTTCTGTTTTTTTGTAATTTTACCAGGGAGTGTAACTTTATAACTTTGTTCTTGGTTCTCTCAGGACAAAGAATAAAAGAATAGCTATAAAATGAGTATTCATCAGAAAAAGCAATTCACCATTATCTCTCGAACTATCATCCTATTATCTCACTGTAGAGATGAAGTCTTACTTTTACTTATCAACGATTCTACTTTTGATGTTGATGCAATGCAAAATATTCTAAATTTAGTGCAATACGTCATCAACGAAGCTCAATATTTCCTTTTCAGATGCGCAATTTTCAAAAACTGTATTCCATGATATATTTCAAAAATATTCAACAAAAATAAAATGACGGGGGTGAATAAGAGGCAAGATCGGTTCCCTCACAGATCAAACTCAAATTAACCGATCTGATGTAGTTTTTGTCAGCGATAACCCCCAGGATATTTTTTTCCTCCAGTGCCCCCTGAAAAAATTTTCGCGAACAAAACTTTTCTTTCAATAAATGAACTTTACTCAGAGTATTTGCATTATTCCATCTCTTTCGTTTAGAGAAAGCCTCAACTATCATATACCGTTTGATACACAATTTTACGGGCTACAAAATGAGCTATAACGCATTATTTTCAACCTTTGTCTTCGTAAATGTATTGGGCAAATATCTGCCAGGTATCTCGATTTTTTGCCTATAGTGGCACATAAAACTGATAATAGTTTCTTTTATAGACAGAGATTAGGCATAGTTTGCATATAGAAAGATGCAAAATTGAAAGGGCTGCACAGTGAGGTACAACGTAGTTTTTCAAATCCTAATTTTATCAGGTTTAATGGACAGATAGCCAACGTATGCAGTATTTTTGAACTATTGTGGAATGGCGAAAGGTAGTACTGTAAAAGTTACCGTTACTTCTTCGTCCGTTAGCGACAACGGTAACTGGAAACGCAGTTAGCGTTAAAACAACTGTAACTAGAAAGGCAGTTACCGTTAAATCAACACAACGGGAACTTTTCCAGTCCTAGTGAAAGGGCTACAGTGTTGTACACAAAATGGGACCCGAAATGCTTATGATATAGAAAAATGCAAAATTTAACGTGCTTCAGATTCAAACACATCAGTTTTTTTTAAAGAGTATCCCGTCAGAGAAAAAATCGAGATACCTGGCAAGTATTTGTACGAATTCAAACGTTGAAAATAATGCGTTATAGCTCATTTTGTAGCCCGTGAAATTATCTATCGAACGGTATATGAAGTCGAGTGGTTAACGAAAAAGT